CCCAAGGGAGCCTTCCTCCATGGATATTACATCACCAAGCTACTCCACCCAAATTGAGTATTACAACGCTCAGCTGCTCCATCCAGGAATCGAACTCCCCACCCTGAGGTTGCAAGCCCAGCAATGCCCATCCTTTGCCAACTTGGATGTGCCCCGGGGGGCTTAACCACACATTCTTCCATCAATCATTATTTAAAAATACAATTTTCTATTAAAATAGGTGTCAAACACCCCTTAAGTCTTCATGACATAGAACTCTCCAAAATCCAAACACCCCTTAAAAATACAATTTTTTCCCTTTACGTCATATTACGTAATCCATTAGGTACAAGTAGCAATTATAAACAATATTCTAAAAAGTTCGGGCAAAACACCTTAATGCTTGCTTAGACTTTTTTTTTTTCAATTCGTAAACGACTTGATTTTTTCTTTCTACCATTTTGTCTTCCCTATGCTCTCTTTATTAATTATTTGATTTTTTATTTTTTTTAATGTTCTTTTATTTGATTTGATTTTATTATTATTATTATTATTTTTTTTTTAATCTTTTATTTGATTTTAATTTCTATTTTTCAAAAGACTTCATATGAACAAAAGTTAAAAAAAAAAGGATATTATCTAATAAAGAGTTAAATAAGATTTAAACTACAATTTTATCTATACTATGTAATAATGATTTTAAGACTCATTATTTTGTTGTAAACTCCGAAAACATATACAAAGTTCATATAATTCTATCAAGTATGACTTATATAGTTCAAAATTGAAACTATGAAAAATAGTGTAATTTTTACATTTAAAAAAATTGAAAAATGTATAATTGTTTAATTATGGGAATTATTAAATAAATATAATATTTTACAATTTTAGATGTTTAGTATGTATTATTAAATAATTTTTGGAATGATTAAAAATTCAAAATAAGAAAACATTTTTTAACGCCTAAACCTCGACTAGGTTCGCTTACACTCTTAAAACTTGAAGGTTTGCCTACACGACTAGCCACGTTTTACACTTTTTAAAACACTAATTGCAATTATAGTTTAAACTTTAAAAAAAGTACAAATAAGTTTCATGCGTTTCGATTTTCTAGGGAACGTGAGTGCCTGTATGTGTACTGCCCTTAATTAAGGGCCTAACTTACCATTTTTGTGTAAAATATTTTGGAATAGTAAATTGATGAAAAATGTATGGTTGCAAAGAAAAGAAAAAAATTTGAGTTACGTGTAATATTATTTTTAGGTTCGCTTACGTGTAATAGTAAATGGAGTGAATTGTTTCAAAAATCACTCAACTTATACCATGGTTACGGACTGCTTACTAAACTTCAACATGCTACGGACTGCTCCCTGAACTTCCTCTGTTTGCACTTCATCCATCACCCAAAAAAAATCATTATCATTCTCGCTGATGTGGCGGATGAAAAATTGACGTGGCAACCAACGTCCGTTTAAAACATGCCAAATCACATTTTAATTCATAATCAGCAAAAAAGCGTCCAACTTGTAAAATCATGTTTTTCACCTTAATTTTTAAAAAACAAATGAAAATTTGAAACTCTCTTCTCAACACACAGTGTGTAAGCATGTTGAAATTTAGTGAACAGTTCGTGACCATGATATAAGTTGAGCGATTTTTGAAACAATTCACTCGTTTAAAATGCAAAAGAAAAAAAATTATATTTAAAAAAAAAATATCGAGCAAGGACTGAAATAGTGAAATTCAAAATAATGATGATCGGAACATGTGTCCACCTTCCAAATTTGAGAACGAGTAGGTGGTGGTTGCAGTGGGTAGAAAGAAGATGGGGGTAGGTGGGATTTTTTATTTTTCATTTAATTTTTAACTATTTATTTGTTAGCCTTTTTTTTTAATCTTAATTTTTTCCAAAAATAAAACCCATTTAAGTCGCGTTCATATGTCATTAAATTAGAAGTTAAATTAAGTGACTCGCTTAATTTCACTTTTTAGTTAACCTATCATCTATCGGGCCCTTACCCTTTTTTAGTTCCATTTTGGGAGAAAAATGAATATTTGAATGGTTATTTTTGGAGAAGGTGTGTTAAAAATTTTCGATTTACCGTGTAATATTATTTTATTAAAAAAAATTATGGTTGATGATGAATTTTGAAAACATGAATTAAAAAAAAGAATGAGGTGCAACAACTCCCTAGATCGAGGCAAAAAAAAGAAAAAAAAAAAATGTTGCCCTTGCAAGACGTGAACCACGTTGATGATTATTTTAATATATAATCTCACCACCAAATAGATATTCTTCGACGAAGTAGGATTGTATTTAATTAATGAATTCCTCGTTTCTTGACCTCGACATTGAGGCCCTCCCGAAAGCACAGCGCCACAGCCGCTGCTCTTCTTGATTCGTTACTTCTAATTGTTAGAATCCTAGAGGGAAAAAATGGAGTCGTTCAAAGAAAACGCAGTGAACCAGCCGTTGTTAAAGTCCAAAGAATTATCTCCACCGCCAGTGGCGGCCGGGGAGCAGGTTAGCTCTGAGCTTGAAGATATTCTTTCAGACACCAGCTTGTCGTGGTGGCGCCGCTTCAGGAAAGGCACTTTGCTCGAGTTGAGGACTCTTTACATCCTTGCAGCTCCTGCGGTTATAGTATACTTGCTCAATAATATTATTTCAATGTCCACTCAGATCTTCTGTGGCCATCTCGGCAATCTTGAACTTGCTGCTACTTCTCTTGGCAACAATGGTGTTCAACTTCTAGCCTATGGAATCATGGTAACGCCGAATCTGTCACCACTTGTACCCCATTCCCCTCGCATTTACGTTTTTAATTTACGATTACAATTATAGCTCAAGTATCGTCTCTATGCTCGTAATGAGCAGCTAGGAATGGGAAGTGCAGTAGAAACGTTGGCTGGGCAGGCATATGGAGCTCACAAATACGAGATGCTTGGGATATACATGCAAAGATCAACAATCCTCCTTATGCTTTCTGGGTTACCATTGATGATAATTTATGTATTCTCCAAGCCAATTTTGCTGTTGCTAGGTGAATCAAAAAGCCTTGCATCTGCTGCAGCTTTGTTCATCTATGGCCTAATACCTCAGATTTTCGCGTATGCTGCAAATTTTCCTATACAAAAGTTCCTGCAGGCACAAAGTATAGTAAATCCCAGTGCATATATATCTGCAGCCGCACTGGTAATGCATATTTTCTTGACATGGCTGGCCGTGTCCGTGTTGGGTTGGGGTTTGTTGGGTGCAGGATTGGTGTTGAGTTTTTCGTGGTGGGTTATGGTAGCGGGACAATTTGTGTATATTGTATTGTCTGCTGAATGCAGATGTACGTGGACTGGATTCAATTGGATGGCATTTTCTGGGCTGTGGGATTTTTTTAAACTATCTTCTGCCTCTGCTGTGATGTTGTGCCTCGAGACTTGGTACTTTCAGATTTTGGTTCTCATTGCTGGCTTGCTTCCCAATCCTGAACTGGTATTAGACTCCATATCTATTTGGTAAGGCCAAAGTTTACTTCAGCATTCTTGAAAAGTTATTTCATGTTCTGAACAATTAATTAAAATGCAGTGTAACAATCCTTGGATGGGTATACATGGTTGCGGTTGGGTTCAATGCTGCGGCAAGGTTAGTAAATTTTGACCTTTTGTGACCTATGTCTTGCTGAATATTTTAGAATAGTTGCTCTACCAATTAAAAAAAGAATTACACTGTTATTTTTCTTACTGTTAGTTTTTATAAAATCATCAAGTGGAGGCTTCGTTCTACATAATTCAACATATAAAATATTTGTCCAGTATCTTACTAAGCTGGATTTTTTCAATCAAAAAAGTTTGAGCCTTATCCCCTGTTTGATGCATTTTAAGTAATGAACTGATGGAAAATATATGGTTAAAAAAGAAGGAAAATTTTTAGATTTACGTATAATATTATTTTATTGAAGATTACCTGATTGAAAATGATTTTTCAAGAACGTGGATCAAACATGGCCTTAAAAGTTTGAGGAGGATCCAGACTTAAATTTTACAAATTAAGACCTTGTTTGGGAGGGATTTTTGGGGGAAGAATTGATTTTGAATAGTGATATGATGTAAAATGTGTGGTTGTAAAAGAAGAAAAAAGTATTGATGTGATGGAAAATATTATTTTATTGAAGAATGTGTTGTTGGAAATGAGAATTGATTTACTGTAGAAAAATCAAAATCTCTCCCAAATATGGCCGAACTCTGCATAATTACTTTTGTGCCCCTCTCCATTCAGAGACAAAGGGCAAAATAGACTTCTTGTTGTGTACTTCTTAGTCTTTTAAAGGTTTTCATAGTTTTATCAAGGTTAAAAAATTGATGGATATGTTTCGATACATAATTGAACGATTTGAAAAATATTAAAAGTACAACATTAAATAAACATCATATCACCGTTGTCTATTCTGTCCAAAGAGCATTATTCGCCCTACCATTAAATAAAATCATGGGTCTGACATGATTGGATCAACTTTTTGCCTAAAGTAGCCCGGCCAGTTGTTAAGTTCAGGTAAAAAAAATTTGAATAATGCTGAATGTACAGAACTATTCATGCCAGAAGTTCAATAGAGGAGTCACATGGACGTAGGTTCCACCCGATTTAAATATTATTAAAAAAAGTAGACCCCACATGTTTGTCTCTTCCCTGTATTTTTTTCGTTTCGTAGCTGTAGCAGTGTTCAAAAAAAATTCTCATTTTTCACTGGTTTGCTAAGAATTGAATCACAATAATTTAAATTCATTATTTCCTAATTAATTGAATTTTATATAGTGTGCGGGTTAGCAATGAACTTGGAGCTGGACATCCAAAATCCGCTGCATTTTCTGTTGTGGTGGTGACACTAAGCTCCTTTATAATATCAGTGATTTTTGCCGTTGTATCACTTGTGCTTCGCCATCATTTAAGTTATGTCTTCACCGGCGGAAAAGCTGTTTCTGATGCTGTCTCGGACCTAACACCACTTATGGCCATCTCCATTATTCTTAATGGTATTCAACCCGTTTTGTCCGGTGAGAAAACGTTCTTTCACGTGCTAATTTCCATCGAGTACTAGATACTTTTACTAGGGTAGGAATTTTTCTTGAACATCAACACTTCTCTGACGTTTGCTGCTTAAATCTTTATCATATGCCTAACAAGGTGTTGCGGTCGGGTGTGGATGGCAAGCATATGTTGCTTATGTAAATGTTGGATGTTATTACATGGTTGGCATTCCAGTTGGTGTGGTTCTTGGCTTTGTATTCAAATTTGGAGCAAAGGTACATCACTCTAATTTTTGTATGTATTGTGTGATGGGGAATATATTGGCTTTAAGCTTCTCTTCGAGAATGATTATTAGAACGATAATTTATTTTATTTTTAAAAACTAGTTTTATTTGTGAGTTGCAGGGAATATGGTTAGGAATGCTGGGAGGCACACTCCTACAAACCATAATCTTATTATGGGTCACGTTTCGGACCGATTGGAATAAGGAGGTACATATTTCACGTTGTTAGATATTATATTCGAATTTTCACTATAAATATTTGCATTTTAATTTAAATAAGAAATTTAAACTTACACTTTGTGCCACCAACTTTCAGGTCGAGAACGCAAAGAGTCGGTTAAAAAAATGGGAAGAATCGAAAGAACAAATTCGCCTGATTAATTAATTAATTAATTAGCCTTCACATCTTGCCTCGAATAAATATTACCATTATGTATTTTATTTTCTCTCGTTTAAATGGTGATAAAAACCATGTCAATTAAATTATTTGATATCCTTCCTTACTTGAAAGGGAAATTGGGTTTATTTTGGATTTGATCTTAGTTTTCTTACACTTTATTGCTCGTTAATTATAATGTCTTGGTAGAATCGAC